TGTATAAAAAGCTAAATAAATAAATAAACCTATGGTTAAGCTAACCAAACTTTTAAAAACCTTTCCAAGGGGCTGGTTGTTTGGGTTATTTATAACCCAGCTTTGAACAACTGGCCCCAGATAGCTAAAATTAAAATGCGACAGACTCAATCACTGTGGACAAATTCATCAGATCGGGTGAAGCCACATATCAAAGGTTTAAGCCGGCTAATATTATAAAAACTAAAAATCTAATATTTTCCTTACACCATAATTGTGCAATTTTGGTGATTTGAACTATCAAATTAAATGAAACATATTTATACATAATGCCAGTCGTCCCCAAGGGGCCTGTTGTTTGGGCTATTGCTAACCCTGGGTTGATGCTAACCCAGCTTTGAACGACTGGCCCTAGATTGCTGAAATTTAAATGCCACAGACTCAATCACTGTGAACAAATTCATCAGACCAGGTGAAACCACATGTCAATGGTTTAAGCCGGCTAATTATTAATGAGTATATATGATTAAACTTAAAAATCTAATATTTACCTTACACCATGATTGTGCAATTTTGGTGATTTGAACTATCAAATGAAACATATTTATACGTAATGCCAGTTGTCCCCAAGGGGCCTGTTGTTCGGGTTATTGCTAACCCTGGGTTAATGCTAACCCTGGGTTAATGCTAACCCAGCTTTGAACGACTGGCCCCAGATAGCTAAAATTTAAATGCCACAGATTCAATCACTGTGAACAAATTCATCAGCCCGGGTGAAACCACATGTAAATGGTTTAAGCCGGCTAATTATTAATGAGTATATATTATTAAAACTAAAAATATGTAATATTTTCCTTATACCATGATTGTGCAATTTTGGTGATTTGAACTATCAAAATATGAAACATATTTATACATAATGCCAGTCGTCCCCAAGGGGTCTGTTGTTTGGGTTATTGCTAACCCTGGGTTAATGCTAACCTAGCTTTGAACAACTGGCCCCAGATAGCTAAAATTTAAATGCCACAGACTCAATCACTGTGGACAAATTCATCAGACCAGGTGAAACCACATGTCAATGGTTTAAGCCGGCTAATTATTAATGAGTATATATTATTAAAACTAAATGTCTAATATTTTCCTTACACCATGATTGTGCAATTTTGGTGATTTGAACTATCAAATGAAACATATTTATACCTGTACACCATTCCAGTCGTTCCAATGTTAAGGTAAATGAGAACTGCAGGGGTGGGTGCCAAATTCTTAGTTTGCTCATGCCTTGCCTAACTTAGAAACTATGTATATATTGTTTATAATGTTTATCTGATATCAAAGTCAAAGGCTATTTGCCAGGCATTGACTGCCACAAGTTTTCCTTGTTCGTTCAGTGTTCAATGTATAGTTAAGTTGTGTAGATGTCTGCCTACTGTGCTAGATTACATATTGAATCACATTTGAAGACAGATTTCCAAAATTGAATACATTTAACTGTCTCTTCAAATTTGATGTGCTCTACTCTACAATTATGTAGTTGAAGGGTCTTGTAGTCTAATGATGTAAATTACTGAGTAGAAATTTTATACATTTATTAGACTTAACCAGGATCAGTTGCAAAAAATGCATCTGATACAGGTCCCTGGCAGCAATCGAACCTACTACAAATTCCGGTAATGGCGGTACAACACTCTAACCAACTTAGCTACAGACACCAGTTGTCAAGCTCTAACCACAAGTTCATGTATATATACCTACTGCAAATTCTGGTAATGGCGGTACAACACTCTAACCAACTGAGCTACAGACACCAGTTGTCAAGTTCTAACTCCACAAGTTCATCTATATATATACTATAGGGTTCTGCCATGTGTTGGTTATGGGCAAATATCAAGATTTTAATTTGTTGGCATCTCACTTGATTGATAAATTTATACTGTAGTTGAGGAGTCTTGTAATTATGAATATAAATGTACCCAAATTCCCACTCAATGAATTCCATCTACAAGACCCTTTAACCACTATTTTACTTTTTGTAAGTGGTACATGAATATTCAAAAGGCCATAATTCTACTAAAATAATTTCTTTTTTGCAGAGCAATGTCTACTCACAAGCTAAACCTTCCTTTTTCTGTTCCCGAGGAAATGATCAGCAAGGAAAAAGTCAGTGGTATTACGTATGACTTACATCAAGACAAGAGCCAGTAACGGTGTATAAGAACTCTTAGATGTTTGAAGGCAGACAAGTCACAACATGTGATCAACATGCATTAGTACTCTTGGGGAGTGGCTTGTCTGTTGAAGGGCATAATATGTATTATACTGATAAAATCTGCGGTAAAGGTGAGGTTGGTTTACAGAGAGTCAGAGACTAAAATAATAAATCACCTGAACTCAGTAACTACAGTAACAAGCAAAATGTAATAAACTGCTACCTTAATTAATAAATGGCAGCATTTTCAGACAAACACATTTTTTTCTGACATAAATAATAAATGAAGTCATATTGAATTAAACAATGTATATTGGGAAAACATAAACTGACTCCAATATTTCATCTATGGGCGCTTTCCATTCAATGACCTGACCGGTCAGACCTGAATACTTTTCTCAGTATCAAAGGAAAGATCTGGTCTATGTTTCTCAAATATCTAGCGAAAATGGACCTCATTCTAATGTTATCAAAATTTTCCGGTTAGATAGGTCCGAAACCCAAATGTTTTGTGTTTCATTCAACAATTTGACCGTTCTGACCGGTTTGGCCATGTTAATGAAAAGCGCCATATATATATTTTTTATTCAAACTTATTTGGCATTGTTCAGTCAACAACGAAGAGAAATAAGATTGCAGGGCAATTTTTCAATTTGTCCCTGCAAATGCAGTGCCAAAATTTCAATTTGTCGCTGCAAATGCAGTGCCAAAATTTCAACTTGGCGCTGCAAATGCAGTGCCAAATTTTCAACTTGGCGCTGCAAATGCAGTGCCAAATTTTCAAATTGCCAATTTGTCACTGCAAATGCAGTGCCAACTTGCAGTGAGAAATATAAATGCTTCGTAGTTGCGATATCGGGCAAAATATGTCCGTTTTGTCATCGTTTTTATTCGGGTTGCAAAATATAGTATTATATTAAAGATTTGTCAACAAGATAATTTCCCATTCTTGCTAAATATGCGTGATTTTACAATAAACGGCATTGCTATTCTCATTTGCTTCAAGATCATTCAATTTCATTAAAATTTCCTAATTTCTTGCAATGCTGCAGTTCTTGATTTTGTTGGGTTTTGTTGCAAATATTAATAAAATGTAGGGAATCCTGCATGAATGAATAGACAGATTGCAAGAATCTCATTATATTCCAATTATTAGCAGCATATTGGTCAAATTTCGTGCAAAAACAGCAGATTTGCTTAGGTTTTGTCCGGAATTCAGTTAAATAGAATATTTCACTTTGCTCTAGAACGTGTTCCACGCGTACATAACACGGGAACGGGAAGATCCTTACATGAATAAATAAATATAATATGTTGTTGCTTCGTTCTTAAGAACTCACGCAATATATCAACATAATTTTGCTTCTTTGTCAACTAGAGACCACGTGTACATAACACG